GGAAAAACGGACATTATTTCTGTAACAACCTAATACTTTCCCATGCAGCTACAAAATACAAATCGTCACGAGTGCGCAATGCGGCTATGGCGCAAAAATATGTAGAATCAATTGAATAACACTACAAGAAAGCTCTAGCAATCAAAATCAAACCTTCTTCCAAGCTCTGTACAACTCCGAGTGCACTGGATAAACGCCATCGTGTTGAGGGGCTATAGCGTAAGGATATCTCACAGGTAGACGCATGTTCTGCACTTTCAAGAGTCAAAGAGTTATGGATTAAGTATATCGTCAGCAATAACGTGCATTATAACACCTGTGCAAACATCAAATTTTGCGCCATCGTAGCCTCGAGATAAGTTGAGTTGTGCTCATGGGCGTGATTATGACGCCACATATGAGGAAACCAATTGAAATGATCTGCTAGTTCTGCAAGAGACATCATGAACGATTTTCCTTATAGGAGAAGCCCTCACTAACCAACAAGCAATTCATCTCCTTTGTCCTCACTGTCGTCCCCGTTTCGAAAATACCCGCCGGAGAATCCAAGCATGTAGGTAAAATTCGTCACGAAGCGACGCATAGCATTCTGACTCTCTAGTAGCGCTCTCCAAAGAATTTGTTGTTGCGGTCGAGTAAACTAATCTGGTGCCCTACCTGACATCACTTTCCACCATTCTCGTACCGCGTGCCCCAACAAATATATCATCAATATCAATTTGTAGATAACGATCCAAGCTCCAGCCCATGTTGCCACCTGATGAGTACCATAGAACATCTAAGTAAGTTACCTAAAAAAAAAGTATGAGAAGAAAGACTGAAAAAGCAAGATGAGCATGTAGTCTCACCACGGTTGAGCATGGGGTCAGGGGGCAGTACTGAACAGTGGATAGCGGGAGGAGAGTCGCAATTAGAGGATTAATTTTCAAAAAGAGAAAGTATATGCTATGTGGAAATTAAGACAGTGGACAGGCCATTGGCATCATAGATTTTGGCGGATTTAGGTAGCAGACCTCCCAAGTACATCGTACCCAAACCTCACCTGCCAGTTCAT